GCAGGTGTCTAAAATAATTTAACCATGAAATGTTTAATGTTAGAAGACATTCAGCCCTTAAACATTTGCACTTAGAATTTTATAGAATCACTTTAAATACTTTTCAGTAAGTTAAATGTCTACAATTCTGGTTCAAATAAAGAACTTTATGTTTACTAGATTGTTAACTAATTATTTTCGAGTTAATGTTGCCTAAGGCATTACAGGTTATTTTTTAATCACTGTTTATTAAAACAGTGATTAAAAAATAACCTGTAAAACTCTGATGTTAGGCGATGTGGTTGAACATTTGGGTGCACCTAACTTTTGTGCTGGTGCGCCTAAGAAAAAATGTTAGGCGCACCAGTGCAACCAGTGCAAAACGTTAGTCTAGAGCCCTGTTATTGCTGTTCCTAGAAACGAACATAACAGGAGGTTAAACAAAAACTGTGTCGCTAATTTTTTTCACCTACTTTCACTCTCTCTGTATTCAAATTAGGTACCACCGGTTCAGTGATTCACAGCAGAAAAATACAGATACTTTCTGCTGTACTTGTCTAACCACATAGCTGAACTAACCCCCCCCATAGAGCCAATGATTCATCATGAAGGGTTGTCACAGAAACATTCACACCTACAGACCAACATTTGGCAGAAGCGTTAAAAACACAATCAGAATGTTAATAGCAGAAGTATCCATTAAAGGGTTTTTGTTTCATTATCAAGACAAGTTGCAGCTTCAAAAGAAGCTGATGGGAAAAAAAACTGAAGACTTTCTGTGGAAACCAYTGAGGTTCCTATAGAACAACTGGAGTTTAACCAGCTGACTGACAAGAGTCAGGATTTACCATTACTGTACATGATGGACACACAGCATAAAAAAGGACTGATGATGTAGAAATCATAAAACTATTAATAATAATCATAACAAAATTATTCATATATGAGTGTTGGCTATCTAARGTAAATAAAATGTAAGACAGCTGTGTGTGTTAACAGAAAATGTGTCTTATTTCACTCGTAAGCAGATTTTATCTTATTTACCTCAACGTGTACGTGAACCCTAAAACCTATATTCAACTGAATATMCTGCAAGCTTTTATGGAACGTGTTGCAGGCATCAAATTCAAAATGAGTGAATGTAAACATTAAATATCTTGTCTTTGCAGTGTAGTCAATTGAATATAGGTTGAAAAGGATTTGCAAATTGTGTTCTGATTTTATTTGTTTTACACAACGTCCCATTTTCAATGGAAGGTTGTCACATAGCCCTATAATAATATAACAGTTTAAAATTAAAATAGATTTATAAAGCTGATGTAATCACTGTTAACTATTGAATTGGTTATCTTAGCTTCTGAAAATATATTGCTACACAGCACTCTGCTGAATCATGCACAAATTTAGTATAAATTATTAAACATTACAAGTCTCTGATTTGTGTAATGTTTTCAAAGTCTAAAATAATATTATCTATTTTACTATTTCAAAATTTCTATTAGACAAACCTGACCTGTTGAGAAGATTTTATTTTTATTTTGTATTTTTATTTAACCTTTATTTAACCAGGCAAAACATTAAGAAAGATGGTTAACTAATATCAGTCACTGAGACGAGTTTCATGCTAAAGTATCACCAGGTAAACTGTGAACATTTGTTAAATGTTGACTGGTAAATAGTTATTATATTTATGACAGTAAGACATAATTAACATACTTTATTACTAGTTGAAGTTGTCATTTTTCAACTAGCTAAAGTCTAAAGTAGGGGAAAGTAAACCTCTGCATTGCTGTGAGCGGGTGTGTCTCTGACCTGACTGGTGTGGCTGATTGCCAGTTTGCGAGCCACGTTCTGCAGCTGAGCCAGAGCCTCGTCCAGGCGGTCTTCCCCGTGACTGGGCTCGGGGATGCCGGGCTCTGGGTCCACCAGCGGGTGCAGCAGCCTCACGACAGACAGAAGCTCCTCCGTGACCTGCCGTTAAGAAACCCAGGGGTTTACTCTGAGCTCTGCAGGTGTCGTGYCCTGACACACTGTGTGAACCTTACATTTTCTCTGTGCTGGCTCCAGCCCAGTCTGTCTCTGCTCTCCTGAAGTCTGTCCACTTGAGCCTTAAGTCTGATGCTGCGTCTTCGAGACAGCTCCACTTCCCTGCGCACTTCCTTCAGCTGTGAACGACAAACAGCATTTAYGACACAACGCAAACAAAAACTGCTGATCTGGATTCCTGAGCGAAACTGTGGACAAAAGCAAACAGCCATGCCAGCTCTAAAACACTTCACACACACAGCAAATATAAAACTACACACAAAGATAAGATAACCTTTCCCACCAGCGTTGTTTTCATCTCGACTACAAATCAAGCTGTCAACATCTCAGSGTCATAAAGCATCTTGTGTAAAATCCATCATGTCTGCAGAGTTTTACTGCGCTCAGATGTCCGACAGATACGATTAGAATTTCAAATGTTAAGGGCCTACTTCAGGGAAAAACTGCATTTTTCGCTTTGTGACATTTTTTTTTACATACAATCAGGCACGTCTCCTCCCGGTACGACAGGTCCAACCAGGAGGTTTGGAGCATTTTTTTCACTCCTGCTCTGACAAAACATTCCCCTGAGGATAGATCCTAGAAACATTTGTACATACTTGAAAAAAAAYGTGTCTTCCTACCGTCTCTGAGACATGCCCGACCGTTCTGCGTCTGCACAGCGGCCTGCCACTCTTTATCAGGTCCGGTAAGCTCTTGTCGGTGTAGTATCTCTGAAAGGAGCCGTCTCCCGCTCCGGCCTCCGCCTCTGATGAGTCTCTCGACCCGTCTAAGACCAGCTCCCCGGTGCTGTCGGTCTCCTCRGACTGTGTGCTGCTGCAGTTATCGTTGCTCAGCTCCTCGCTGTCCAACTCGGTTAAACTCAAAGCGTCAAAAGCGTCCAAGCTGGTGAAGAGCATCAGGTCATCGGGGCTTCTTTCTCCTCGGTCGTCACAGACCATCTCCTGCTCGAAAGTGCGTTTGGGTTTGGGTGGACCCTCCGGTTCTGTCATGGAGGTATTCGTCTCTGGTTCTGTCAGGACGGTGGGCATGAATCTGCTCCTGTTCATGTTTCTGATTTCCAGCCTGTTCAGGGACGAGTAGATGTGATCCCTGGCGGAGCAGCGAGGTCTCAGCTTCTCGTTGAGCTCTGAAAAAGGTCGAGAGTAATCCATGATCAGCGCGGCAGAACGGGTTTCAGTTAAGCCTTCTGAACACACTGAGAGACGTGAGGACGCACAGGACATAAAGACAACAAAGGCAGGAGGACGATCAGAATGCCGCCGGACTCGTTCTACCTGATGCGTCCTCGCAGGCATGAGCCGATGTGATGTCACCACTGGAGGCTGTGGCTTCCAGACGTCCTTCCTCTTCGGTGGCTGGACAAACACATGACGTGCAAACATACCAGAGAGCAGCAGGGAGGCAAAGAGCCGAGGTCTCAACCTTCCATACCGTCAGAATCCTCCAGGCTGACGCAGGACACCTGCTCTCACAGCTGCTCTTTTATCAAACAGATCGAGCAGAAACCTTGCTGGGAAGAGATAGTGAGAGGAATAATTTACAGTCAAAGGAACTGAGTGTTGCTCATTTTACCCACACTTCCGATTAGTCATCAGGTTATTTTTAGTTTTTGAAGAGTTAGGGTTATTTGGGAGGAAACACCAGTTTATAGTCATTCCTTAAAGTTAAAGGGACTTTTCGGTGACAAACCGCCACACACGAGCAAAAACGAGTCAGCAACCAGCTAAAAGGAAGAATTTTAAAAATATTTTTATTTCTGAGTAATTCGGCTCATTTTGGTTATAAAACCATGATTTGTCTCGATGCAGCAACAAGAGGCAGGTCAGACTGTGAACTTCAGTCCTAATGTTTTAATTTTAACTCACTTAGATAGTCAGCATTTATAAATCTAGTTTGAACACAGTTAAACACTGAATCATGCAGCATGGTGGTTTAGTGGTCAGAACTGTTGCCTCACACCAAGGAGGTCTTGAGTTCAGGACCTGGGTGGGCCTGGAGTGTTTTTTTTTTTATGTGGAAACACTAAATTATTTAAATATTTATAGCACTAACCTCACATATATTCACATGTAGTCATATCTGCTTTGTTAAATTAAAGCATTTTAAGACACCAGTCCTTAATAACACTTTATAATAATAACTAAACCTTATTTAGCCTTAATTAATCATTAATAGATGGTTAGTTAACCTTGAAAACAGCATTAAGGGAAATTCATACTTCAATTAAATTCAATTAAATTCAATTCAAAAATACTTTATTGATCCCAGAGGGAAATTTGGTGTTGTTGTAACTCATTTAACTAAAGTCTTATTGTAGATGCTGATGGCTGTGGGCAGGAGAGATCTTCTGTAGCGGTCTGTATTACAGCAAAGTTGAAGAAGCCTCCGACTGAAGACACTTTGTCTT